CGCTCAGATTTCCCCATCCAGGAGGGAGCCACACACACGGGCAATCTCCTGCCATGGGGAAGAATTGGGCAGAGTCTCGGCACACCTGGATACTGTCCCCATGATTTCTCCTCACTGTACCTCTGTTTCCCCTACGCACCCGTTGGGGTTTCATTTTAGAATTCATGAGGGTTTGGAGACAGCTGACAAGGAAGGTCTGGAAAAGCCTGCGGAGAGAAGGGGAACCAACTGGGGCTATTTTTCCTTGGGAATAAGAGAGGCGACGTGATAGAACATATGAAATTATGATTGTGATAAGGGAGATAGATACATACATAGATAGATAGATAATTTAGTTCTAGACCGACACCAAAAGATTGGGAGAAAATAGTTGTTTCGGGTGAAATCAAAATTAATTTTTGGGCGGCACTTTCAACAAACTGAAAAGTCAGAAAAAGTTTCATTTTGGGTCAAACGAAACATCTGGTTTTGATTTTGAGGGGTTGTTAAAGTTGTTTAAAATTTTTTAAAAAATAAAATGTCGGAAGGAAAAGTTGTTTTGAACCAAAAGAGGGAAAAGTTTCCATTTTTTCCCCCAGAGTTTGTTTTTTTATGGGGGTTTCTTCCAACTGAAACAATTGGGCGACTTTGAATTTGCAAAATGTTCCCAAGTGGTCACATTTGCATTTTTCACTGAAAAAAAGTTTCAGCTGAAAAATGTCACTGACCACGAGAGCGGGGAGATCGAGGACTCCTGCCCGCCTGCTGTCACAGGACAGGATGTAAGCGAATGTTCAATGAAATTGAAAAGGGACAAGTTCATTCTGATGAAAGGAAACACATTTCCCAGTCAATAAACCGTCAGTCCATGGAACTCCCCAGCCAAGAAATTGCTGTGGTCAAGAGTTGAGCAAGATTCGAAAAGGGATTGTGGGCTAATCAGAGAGATCAGAATAAATGATCGTAAAAATGTTGGCGGGGATAGTGACCCTCCTCTTTCAGGTCATGAGGGGAGCTCTAGCTCTTAGCAATGGGACGAGACCTAGAGGAGGAGGAGATTATCCCACACGTTGGGCGGTTTTGATCCTTTCTCTGCAGAATCTAGTGCTGGCCACTGGCGGAGACGGGATACTGTCCTATGCACAGCACCCTGCACAATGGGGCCCCAAACTGCCATGCTGTCTCCAGAGCCTCCTGTTCTACAAATCAAAATAATACAGGAAAAGTGATGGCACAAACACCCTGTCCCTGGGACTCCTGCAGAAATCCCCCAGCTGGTTTGACCTGGAGGTCCCAGAGAGATTTCTTTCTTACTGGTTGTGGAATGGTACAATAGATGCCCCAACTGAGATCGGGACCTTTTTGATCCGGATGTTGCACAGACCCCTTGGCTGAGACGGGGATCCCCGCTGTGCAAGGTGCTGCATGCCCCCCCACCCTCCGGCTGAAATTGGGAGTCCCGACATAGAATCATAGAATCATAGAATATCAGGGTTGGAAGGGACCTCAGGAGGTCATCTAGTCCAACCCCCTGCTCAAAGCAGGACCGATCCCCAATTTTTGCCCCGGATCCCTAAATGGCCCCCTCAAAGATTGAACTCACAACCCTGGGTTTAGCAGGCCAATGATCAAACCACTGACATGCCAGATTCTGTACAGACCCCTTGACTGAGAGCTTCTTAGGGATCCCAGCTCTGACACCATCAGTGAGCTACACCATTGCCTGGTGAATGGTGGGACTAACACAGGCCTGCTCCAAAGTTCATTGGGGATCAGGGCCCTACATGACTTGCCCAGGTGTCCACAGAGTGAGACTATATCAGAGCTGGGGGGGGGAGACTGTTGGGGGCAGGTCTAGATGGGCAGCAGGGAGTGGCGCAGAGGAGGAGGGGGAGGGTGTTTGTATAGGGTCAGAGCCATAAGAGGTCATAGGTCGCTAGACACTGACCCCGCTGTTTGGTCCCCCACAGGTGGGACAACCATACACACCACCATGAAAGGCTGCGCCACCGAGTCCGCCTGCACCAATATACAACGGTTCAAAGGGGCCTTCGGGGGGTTCAGTATGGATCTCACCACGGCCGAATGCAGACCAGCCTCCCATGTGGCCAGCATGGCTCCAGAACCAGCCAGACTCGTCCTCCCAGCCCTTGTTACCGTCCTGCTGGCGAAGGTCCTCTCCTGATCCCCACACCGCAGGTGGCGGGCGGGTGCCCCCCTGCCAAAGGCTCCCATGTCCCGCTCGGATTCACTTCCCCTTTCGTGGGATTAACGGAATAAAGCAGACAGGAGAAAATGGTCGTGTGCGTGTGTGTTTGTCTGTAATCACGAATCTCAGATACTGTGTGTCTTTCTGTGTGTAATTGTGAGTGTTGGACTCTGGGAGTATGCAAGTATGAGTCTCATATTGTGTGTGTCTGTGTGTGATCATGGGTCTTGGACTGTGTGTGTGTAAGTCTTGGACTCTGTGTGTGTGTGTGTGTGGTGTTGTTGGATCATATTAAAGAAGTTCTGTATGAAAATCACAAATGAGTTTGATTCCCCATAGTTTAAATTCTGCAGCTCCCATTGTCTGGGAACCATGGCCAATGGGAACTGCAGGGGCAGCGCTTGCAGATGGGGGCAGCACGCAGAACCCCCTGGCCGCCCCTACACCTAGGAGCCAGAGAGACATGCTGCCGCTTCTGGAAGCTGCCTGAGGTCAGCCCCGCCTGGAACCTGCACCCCTCATCCCCTCCCACACCCCAGCCCCATGCCCCAGCCTGGAGCCCCCTCCTGAACTCCAAACCCCTTGGCCCCAACCCGGAGTCCCCTCCTGCACCCTAATCCCCTCATCCCCAGCCCCACCCCCCTACCCCAACCCAGAGCCCATACCCCCTCTCACAACCCAACCCCCTGCCCCAGCCTGGAGGCTCCTCCCACATCCTGAACCCCTCATTTCTGGCCTCACCCAAGAGCCCACAGTCTCAGCCCAGAGCCTATACCCGCTCCCACACCCCAACCCCCTGCCTCATGCCGCAGCCCCCTCCTGCACTTCAAATCCCTTGGCCTCACCCCCAGCCCAAAGCCCCCTCCTACACCTCAAACCCGTCATCCCTGGCTCCAATCTGGAGCCCTCATGCCTTCCTGCACCCTGAAAATGAATAAGTGAGCAAGGGTGGGGGACAGTGAGCGACAGAGGGAGAGGGGATGGAGTTAGCAGGGGGTGGGGCCTTGGGGAAGGGGACGGGGCAAGGGTGTTCAGTTTTCTGCCATCAGAAAGTTGGCAACCCTAGCGCTGAGGCAACCTGGACCAGCCCTGGTGGGAATTTGTCCAACCTGGTCTTAAAACCATCCAGTGATGGGGATCCCACAGCCGCCGTTGGAAGCCAATTCCAGAGCTGAACTGCCCTGACGAAGTGGGCTCCAGCCCATTAAAGCTTATGCCCAAATAAATTTGTTAGTCTTTAAGGTGCCACAGGACTCTTTGTTGTCTTTGCTGAAACAGACTAACAGGGCTACCCCTTTGAAACTTGTCACCTGAGAGTTAGAGATTTTTTCCTACTATCCAGCCCCCAGTTCCCTTGCTGCAGATAAAGCCTGTTGTACCTTATATTACCTTCAGTGGACATGGAAAACATTTGATCCCTGGCCTCTCTGAACCAGCCTTTAACATATTTGCAGCCTGGTCTCAGGTACCCCCTTGGTCTTCTTCTCTCCAGACTGACCATGCCCAGTTTCTGTAACCTGTCCTCACAGGTCGGGTTTTCTGAACCTTTGATCATTTCTCTTGCTCTCCTCTGGACTCTCTCCAGTTTGTCCCCATCTCTCCTAAAGCGCGGCACCCAGAACTGGGTCCAGTTCTCCAGCTGGGGCCTCCCTGGTGCCAAGCAGAGCGGGACAATGACCTCCCATGTCCGACCTATGACACGCCCATTAATACACCACACAGTGATAACAGCCTTTTTCACAACTGTGTCAGATTGCTGGCTCCCAATCAATCTGTGATTCACTCTGATCTCCATTTCAGTGGTACAACCGTGCGGTCAGTTATTCCCCAGCTTGTAGCTCTGCACTGAAGTTTTCCTTCCTAAGTGTCATACTTTGCACTTGTCTTGACTGAATTTCATTTTGTCTCCAGGGGCCCTGGACCTTCTTCACCCCAATCCTGAGAGATGCCCTGACAAAGCGGGCTAGAGAGGGGGGTCCAGATGACAATGCCACCTCCACCAGTTCCAGCTAACTCCTGAACACCACTTGAGATGTGAGACTTCATCTCCCCTTTCCCCCCTTACCCCAGTGTGCCATTTTTCTTCCCTGCCTTATCTTTTCTCTGTCCAGCCTCTCTCCCTTTGCTATTTGTCGAAGAAAAGCATGGTTTAGCAATCCAAGGCTGTATATTATTTATGCAACACTGCTGTGAGTTTATTACCAGCTGAAAGCAGCCCAACGCTGGTATGAGTTTGCCAGGTCTCAAAGATCGTGGGCTGGGGCAGTGTTTTTCCAGCGGTAATATTGCAAAAGAGAGTCACCCCAGAAACAGAAGCTGGATTTTCTCCTTTGCATCTGGTCCCTGGGAAGCAAGGGGGATGTTTTGGGACTGAAGGACTGGGAAGCAGAGCCCCAGGGGATTGTGCAATAGTGTTGGTGGACTTTCCAGACCCAAGTCTGATGACCCATGTGCCTAGGTACCCCACACTGAAAATGCCAAGGTCAGGGCAGGCTTCAAAAAAAGGAGTGCAGATTCTCCCAAGACTGGTGGTTAACTCTGTAGTTAGATTCACCAGCCAGTCACAAGCTGTGCGCCTGATCCCCCACACGGGTTATCAAGAAGCCAAAAAAAAAAGAAAAAAAAAATCTCACAGCCCCCTTTATTGCATTCCAGTTTCAGCCTCCCAGTCAGCAAATAGGTCCAGTAAAGTGAGAAGTTACTTAAAACTGTTCACTATACAAAATGTTCTTCTGATCCCCAAAAGGCCAACCAATTCCCAGATCAATACTAGTTTGGATCTTACCCAAAATACCATGCTGCCAGCCAATCCTTTCGTATCTAACAACTAAAGGTTTTATTATTAAAGAAAAGAAAGAGAAGAGAGTTGTTAAAGGGTGAAAGAAATCAGATACGTACTTATGATTTCTAAGTCCAGAGATCAGGTTCCTTGCAGCACTGGCGAGTTTGCTGGCTTGTAAAGTTCTTCTGGAACACGCCCAAAGTTTGGATGGGCCTGACAGATCTTTGTTCAGAGCTGCAGCGTGCAGAGAAGTTGCTCCAGAGGTGAGAAGCCGTGTCGAAGCCAAAATGGAGAAGATACAGCTGCCTTTTTATATCCTTTGCCACGTGTCTTGTACATCCTCTGTCCCAAACACAAGCTCCGAGCACATGGGCATGGAAAAGCTCTTGGAGTCCCCTGTCCACAGGCATCTCCTTACATGTCCTGCTGACTCCTAGGCATAGCCCCTGGCTTCTCTCAATGGGCTCATTGTCCAGCTGATGGCCCTTGATGGGCCATTAAGAAGGCTGGTAGTGCTGATACCAATGTGTCTTGGGGTGTCAGCCAGATACACAGCACAGGTTTGAAAGATATCAATATACCACACATATTTACAACCCACGATACGAAGATGATAATATATATAAACAAGCTTTATCATATTTAGCAAATGGTATCTTTTCCACGGATGCCTTACATGGCATATCTTTTATAAGATTCTTTGTGATTTTGTAAAATTGGTATCATACATTATAAATGGTCACCCACATTCCATACTGCGTCACAACCCAGACTTTAGCTGTGTCCACACTGCAAAATGACAGGGCTTGGACCTGAATCCTGCATTTGCTCTTCTAGCTGCTCCCTGGAAGCCAGCTCCAGGTCCCACTCTTGTCTCTGCCCCCTTTCCCGCCACCACAGATCCCAGCAGAGACACCCAGCCTGGGGGCAGGGCAGGAGCACATATGCCAGCTAGGAGCCAACAGTGTAGGGTTGGGGGTGGGACAGAGCACAGGCACTTGAGCAGGGGGTAGGGGATACCAATACACCAAGCACCAGCTGCCCAGGAATAGGATGCCCTTTCCTACTCTGGAGCAGGCACCCCCTTAGTGCCCCAGCCCTGAGTCTCAGGAGGTCCCCCGCTCCTGTCCTGCTGCCCCCCAGTTCATAGGGAGCTCCCATCACTGTCTCCTCCTCCCCAGTTAATTTGAAATGGGGATGCATCCACATGAAACTAACAGGAATATCATTTATTCCAAACCAGAGTCACTTCTAAAGTATAAAAAAAAAAAATCCTTTGTGTGTGGACACATGGTAATTTATGCTGAAAAAAAAAAAACCTAAAGATATACAAAAATACCTTCCCCATGTAGACCTTTACACCTGTATAACAGCATCCACACTGGGGCATTGTACCACTGTAACTACACCAGACTCGTTTGGCTTGGAAGGATTCGATTTTTATCAGAGTTAATGTCGGTAAATATCAATTTCACTGTACATACACAAGCCAAGGAAAAATATTTCTGCTGATAATAAACGGAAATGTAAAGAACTTACCACAGTTTGATTCCAGGATATTTACTTTGTATATTTTGACAAGCGATGTTCACAATTTGTGTTTTGAATCTCAGGAACTTCTGTCATAATTAATGTCTGCCCCGATTGACCCACCATAACTTCCCTCAATTGTGAAAAATTAAAGAGATAAAAATGAAAAAAAAAAGCTTAAAAATAACCATTGGTATTGCCAATTTAAATGATACAAAAATTAAAATTGAATACTGCCAGGCTGGAGTATAAAACGCTCTCTAGAACATGTGAGGAAAGAACCAGTTTGCTTTCTTAAACTAACAAACTAAGAATTCTCTGACAAAAATCTACCTTACCCTGGGTTACCTTAACTTTGCATTATCTTGTGTCCTTCCAGAACATCAAGTTCAGCTGAGCTCAAACCTCTAAAAACCAGGATATACAAAGTTAAGATTGCCAATGAAGCTGCATTCACTGGGTTAGGTAGTGCTGTCCTGAATGGTGGAGGTTGTGGATAACGCTCAGAAAAGTTAATGAAAATCAAGTAAATGAGCGAAGTCCCCGTGCATAAGATAAAGTGTGTTAAATGCCCATGTGGATGATCTCATTCAGGAGTAAAGTCACTTTAGTTTTCTGTAACTAATTAGTCTCGGGCCTAGTCTACACTTAAAAATTAGATCAAACATCATGCAGGGCTGTGAAAAATTTTATGCCCTGTAGTTAGGTTGATATAACTCCCAACGTAGATGCAGCTAGGTAGACAGAATTCTTCTGTCCTGTCCACCTAGCAACTGCCCGTTGGAGAGGAGGATTTACTACATTGATGGGGGGGTGGGGGGGGGCGGGAACCCTTCCCTCGCTGTAGGAAGCATCTACACTATGGCACCGCAGTGTCTGCCACTGTAGCACCCATAGTGTAGACGGGGCCTTAATCCTCTTTCAGTGTAACTGAAACAGGCTGATTGACGTCCATCCGGTTACTCCTGGCTCACACCAGCTTGTAGAACACAGAGTGGGTACAATTTGTGTGGTTTACACAATTATATACCAGTAACGATGTGCACATATAGTACAAGACAGCTGAAGAATCAAGCCTGCCATATATGGTACACCTGTATTTCAAAGTCTGACAAGATGACAGGCTACCTATGTAAAGGCATCAGTGATAAAGATTTGTAGATCGGGCATTTGAAAGTTCTTACAAAACATATACAAGCAGAATCCATGTATCAATATTGGTAATGAGTGAGAGAGCAACAGGGTGTCTATGAATATGGTTCTTATACTAACCAGAAAAATTCACCGCAAGTTGCCATAAAATACACTAGAGGATCACATGTTTTGTTGTTCCTATTGGCACAACTCATTGTACACACCAAGGGCTTGTTGTACCCCCTCATTTCCCCTCACAGGCTCCCTGGGTGACATCCCAGACTCCTCTATGTCAGGGACTCCCTAAAACACCCACACCCTCTCATGTCCCATACCAGGTCCCTGACTCTATCCCTAGGCCAGGGGCAGCTGTGGGCATGACACCAGATCCCCAGGTGGTTTGAATTGGCCGTCTCTCCACGGGAATGCCCAGTTCACTAACAGTGTTATAGGGGCTGGTTTGGCTGCCTTTATACGCAAGTCCTGCTATCCACCACATGTTCTACTGATATTTTTGGCCACACCTTATTTCTGGGTATTTCCTGCCTTTCCTAAAGATAAGAACCAAACAAACTAAGGGCAGCTGGGTAGCTGAATCTGGGAAATGGAAAGTCAAGTTTTTGGCTAATTGACTTTTTTTGAGGACTCTCTTTCTCTTTCTGTAGCTAGAAGCTCACGTTCCCAAGCCGTTCTCCGCACATTTTTAGCATCTTCTGCAGCATCTTCCAAAAATGACTGCAGTGTTCTGTAGGAAGCTTTATAAGAAATCCCTGCACATATGACAGAACCAATGACAGGTACCCACACAAAGGCAGAAGACGCTATCGCTAAAGCAAAACTGGCCAGTAATGTGATGACAAAAGACTGGGTTATCTCTTCAGCCATTCGTGTTTTTATAATAGCTCTTTCCAGTTCCTCCCTGGGTTTCTGTGTCCGTTTTGAGAGCCTGGTGAAGGAGTCTCTATCCAGACCAAAGTTCCTGCTGAAAATCCTGAGGTATTTTACTAAGACAACAACATTGCAAACAGCAGAGACACCTGGAATAGGAACAAGGGCTCCAACACATGATGCAGCAGCTACCTGCCAAATCCCGTGCTCCAGGGCTTCTTTCTTCTTTTGTATGATTTTTTCAGAGTAGTTGGGCAGGGCAAGAACAAGAGAGTGATTTTTGTCACTGGAGAGCTCTTCCACCAAAGTCTCCTGCAGGATGTGAAAATCATACTTGCCTAAATACCAGACAGAGATGAGGAAAACTTGTGGGTTCCTCAGCCCTTCCTCCTGCAGACATTTGCAGCAGTATTCTCTGATCTCCTGCAAGATCCTCTCTTCATTGTAGCTGGATGGCCGGCGTCGTATGGCAGAGTACAAATCCACATCCACTTTGGAGCGCACAAAATAACACTTCTTTCCCATCCCCTGGATCTTCCTGGCCAGGTCGGCATGGCTGAAGCTGAACCGTTGCGAGGTAATGAGGATGAAGGTGTCATAGCAGCTGAAATTCACCTGCTGGAGGCAGCCGCCTGCCGGAAAGGTTGGGCTCCCAATTGGCGGCAGTTCCCATATGGTCACATTAGGGTGTGTGGGAAATGGATATGGAACTGGCTTTTGTGTTGTTTCTACAACTCCGGTTATTGCAGCATTCTCATCTTCATCATCCAGGTCCCGGATGGCGTTGATGAAGGATGATTTCCCAGAGCCGCACTCCCCGATGACGGCAATGTTGAGCTCAGCATTTTCGGAAAACGTCAAGGCTTCTCTCACGGCAGAAGCCATATCTCTTGGCCTTCCAGCTCTCACAGTAACCTTAAGTATTTCTATATCAATGGCATTTTGTCTGCTTCAAAAGAAAACAGTATCTCAGGAATTGTTCCTATCTGTTGTTATTATTATTATTACTTGTTATTTACACAGACTTTTACACTGATAATTAAGGAGGCAGCCTTGAAAGCATGGAAGTAACTTATTTCAGAAAATGTTTATAGGAAATTACCAGTTTAGAATTGGTTTTGTTTTTTCAGGTTTTGGTCCTTTGTTGCTAGGGCTGTTTTTGATGCCTCCCCCTTTTTACAATTTGTCCCAGAAAAATGGGAGTTGGGAGAAGAGAACGGGTAACTTTAAAAATTCAACAATTTCCCCCCTCCCGGTTGTTTTGTTTGCCACATTCATTGAAAAAAAATCCAAAACATTTCACATATATATACAAATTTTCATTTTAGAAAAATGGCCAGTTTTTGATGAAAATATTTTGTACTGAAATATATTAACCAATGCTGTGTGTAACGTTATTTTACAGAGAGGTTACTATTGCTACAAGGTTTTGTGTTACAGTGTACATTTATGCCTTGTCTAAGGGCCCTTTATTCAATCAGAGCTATTTAAAGAGGCCTCTGTGAACATAAGAATTTAAGGCATTTTTTACAAAAAAAAAAAAAAATCACAGCTTTCTTAGTTCTAGTTCTTCCTTGTGCCCCCAAATTTAGCAATGAGTTACTATATGCCTGTACCACAGTTTAAAGTTTCTCTCTTTTAAAACAAAATATTTTTTACGCGGTAGGAAAAGTGTTTTTATAATGCAGAAACAGCTGAAGGGATGTGTCTTAAAAATAAAAACTGTCACTCCCTGGGATAACTAAGCATGGATCATTTCTGTACCCCCAAAATTCAATGGTTCGGAACGTCACAAAGGTCTGAAAAGAGGAAATTAGAATGGAAAGTATTGTGCAACATGACGCACTTGAACCTGAATACCTTAGAACAGCGGTTTTCAAAGTTTTTAGGCTGCGAACCCCTTTCCAAATAATGTAGTTTATGCATACCTTCAGCTGAGATAGGGTCATAATATATCTGTGATTAGATTGCCAAATCTTATTAAACAAAATACGCTGTCCGCCATGACAGGATTTTTCTGACCTACCCTCTCACGAGAGCTCGTGTACCTTAGTTTGAAAACCACTGAAGATCTGACCCTAAGTTAAATAAGGTTGCCAGCCCTCTGGGATTGGCCTGGAGTCTCCCGGAACCAGCATCGCTCTCTCGGTGACTAGTGAAAGAAGTCCGGGAGATTTTAATAGGATATTTTAAGAAAATTACATTATGTCACGGGGGGGTCTCGTGGAATAGCTTCAGTCAGAGTTGGAAATCCTAAAGTTAAATCATTCTGGTGCTTTTGAACATTTTACCCCTATTGCACACAGAAATAGGATACCCACACAACACACACACCCAGCTGGTTATTTTGACAAAATCTAACAAGATGGAAGATTCAACAGCAGGCCCCAGCTGTGTATTCAAGAGCAGGCTTCAGAGCTGTGAAATCCATAGTGTGTGTTCACACTGGGCAGCCATTTTTAAGGGCCACGCAGCCATTTTAAACAAACCCTTCAGCTTTTAAGCAAATAACAGCAAGTGATTAAATATAGTAACAGAATCATTTTAAAAGGCACAAACCAGAGGAGATGGTCTTACCTTCCAGTCTCAAATGCCTCTGTTAGTCTGAGCTACATGGAGAAGTAAAGCAAATGAACACAATGTTGGTTTTCGGTCTCCTTCTTTCTGTCTCTGCCCTCTGTGGCTTTCCGTCTGAGTCAGAATGGAAGTGAAAGCACAAACGTCTCTTGCAAATTGTCACGTATCAGAGTCCAGATCACAATTCTGAACGTGCATTCCCTAGTTACAGCAGCAAGATGGGACCAACGCAAAGCCAGATTCTTGAATGTTAAAAATAGCTTGACCAATGCCTGACTGACCTCGGGCACAGTCAGGTTCTGAGAAAAGTGAGTTTGGTTGGATTGTTGTAAAAGTACTCTGAAAAGATTTCCTGCAGCAACTTTGAATTTAATCAAATCAGCTCTCATAAGATAAACAGGATTGGGCAGAGTCAGAGTACAGACACAGATCTCCAAGAAAAACATAAGCACTTCACTAGGGTGCACTACAATTGCAAGGTCTGCCCTCACGTGCTCTATCCCATGAGACCTCCAAGATCTGGGGAGAGAATCCAGGAGTTCTGACTCCCACCCTGCTGCTCTAACCACTAGTCCCAACTCTGCTCCCAGAGTTGGAGAACCCAGGAATCCTGGCTCCCAGCAGGGGTGCCATTTAAGGGACCCAGGGGAGGTCTCCTGCCCCCCCCCCCCCCCCAGTTTCTTACCACCAGCTGAAGCAATGTTGCTCACTCAGGAAGGACTCGCTCCTCCCCTCCCCTGCCCGAGCAATGTTGCTGGCTCTTCTCCCAGCCCAGCCCCTCTCCTCCCTGGCTATTCTCTGCTCAGCCAAGAGGAATGCAGAGGTGGATCTAGCAGAGCCAACAGCAGGGCTGGGACCTTCTGCAGCAGTTTCTCAGATTCATTCCTGGCACAAACACACTCAGGGAGTGGTCAGGGGAAGAAGCTCTGGGCTTAGGTCAGGAGATGCCTGCTGCAGATTTCATCATGATCTGCCCCCACCTTCCCATGGCGACATGTACAAAGGCAGGAGCAGCCCCTTGGCACACCAGTAGACACAGAGCTGCTCAGGCAGGGGAGGGGGGGGGGCTGCTCCAGGCACATTCAGGGGTTAAATATCCCCACAGCCAGCCCCACTTTGGGGGTTTCTGGCTGCAGGAGCAGTGCTGCAGAATGACCACCTGGAACCTCTCCCTGCTGGGAAGAAACAAACGTGCTGTCACACCACAAATAGTGTTTAAATTACACTCAACCTTTCCCATGTTTTCCAACTCGCTATTTTTGCAGTGAATGGCAGTACCCCAGTGTGGCCCTTTATTCTACCATTTAGTCCCACGTGTCTGTGGGAGCTATTCCTGTGCCAACAATGGGCTTTGGGTCAGGCCCATAGGCTGTGACACAGAAACACTGATTCCCCTGTGAATGTCAGGATTTTACCAACTCTCCCCAGAGTGGGGTCATGCTTTTATGGGACCTTTTTCCCAGATACCTTTTCAGGAGCTGCTACCCCTCAACTTATTACCAGCAGGAGAGTGGGGTGTGAGGAGGCATCTTCTCATGCTTTGTCTGTATATAAAAAGATCTTGTAGATTCTCTACAGAATGCATCCGATGAAGTGAGCTGTAGCTCATGAAAACTTATGCTCAGATAAATTGGTTAGTCTCTAAGGTGCCACAAGTCCTCCTTTTCTTTTTGCGAATACAGACTAACACGGCTGTTACTCTGATACCCCTCAACTGCTACCCTCAAGCAGCCTGTCATGGTTCCTTCCCCCCTCTGAACTCTGGGGTACAGATGTGGGGACCCGCATGAAAGACCCCCTAAGCTTATTTTACCAGCTTAGGTTAAAAACTTTCCCAAGGCACAAATTCCACCTTGTCCTTGAACAGTATGCTGCTGTCACCACCAAGTGATTTAGACAATCTGGGAAAGGACCACTTGGCATTCCTGTTCCCTAAAATATCCCCCCCCAAGCCTTTTCACCCCCTTTCCTGGGGAGGCTTGAGAATAATATATCAACCAAATAGGTAAACCAAACCCTGGGGTTTTTAGGACACTAAAAACCCCAATCAGATTCTTAAAAGAAGAATTATATTTAAAGAAAAGGTAAAAGAATCACCTCAGTAAAATCAGGATGGAAGATAACTTTATAGGGTAACAAAAGAATCACAAACACAGAGGAACTCCCTCTAGGCTTAGTTCAAAGTTACCAAAAAAACCAGGAATAAACCTCCCTCTTGCAAAGGGAAAATTCACAAGCTAAAACAAAAGATAATCTAACACACCTTACCTGGCTTTACTTACTATTTTTGTAATATTAGAAACTGGTTCAGGATTGATTTATAGGAGAAGGAGTTTTCTGACCTGATGCTTCTCTGCTTCCCAAGAGAACACACAAAACAAAGCCTCCCCCCACCCCAGATTTGAAAGTGTCTTCTTTCCCCATTGGTCCTTTTGGTCAGGCGCCAACCAGGTTATTTGAGCTTCTTAACGCATTACTTGTAAGGAGGAATTCTAGGCTATGATACAGCCATTTTGCAGCTTTCTGCTGTATCTCCTTCTCTTCCAGCTGGTAAATATTCTTATCTCCTGTTGTACTTATTGTTTAACATTTCTGAAGGGGGCAGAATCTCACGAACTTGAATATCATTAGTAAAAAGAAAAGGAGTACTTGTGGCACCTTAGAGACTAACCAATTTATTTGAGCATGAGCTAACGAAAGCTCATGCTCAAATAAATTGGTTAGTCTCTAAGGTGCCACAAGTACTCCTTTTCTTTTTGCGAATACAGACTAACACGGCTGTTCCTCTGAAAAATATCATTAGTGAATTTCCTGGAGGTGATGTTTACTCTCAAATCCTTACAGCAACACAAGAAACCTCCTTCCAACTTAATCTTTTGTATTTATCATAATTAGTTGTATAAACCCTTCAGTGAACATAACCCTAAGCCAATCTGAACAATTTGGCTGCCAAAATCTGTTTGTTATAGATCTATGCTGCTAACATCCATCATTTAATTATATTCAAGGGAATGATTCTTTTTAAAGGAGTAGACCGTAGTGTTAATAAAAAATTTGTTTACATAAATAGATTGGGCTACTTGGGGGCTAGTTATCCACACACACACACACACATATATATATATATATATATATATAATATATATATACCCATATCCACAGAGCCAGTTATGTTTGGAATCATTAGGAATCATTAGGAAAGGGACAGATAATAAGACAGAAAATATCATGTTGCCTCTATATAAAGCCATGGGATGCCCACAGTTTGAATACTGCGTGCAGATGTGGTCGCCCAAGCTCAAAAAAGAGATATTGGAATTGGAAAAGGTTCAGAAAAGGGCAATAAAAATGATTAGGGGGATGGAACAGCTT